TCGAGGTTTTGCTAGAGCTGAAACAAAAGAGGAAGTTGATCATTGAGGGAGCATATCCACTTTCTACAGTTTCACTATGTCACCAGTTTCCCCGTGAAGTCAATAGAGTCAAAGATTAACAGTGAGGATCTAGTGCAGGTTAATCTCTAAGGAATCTCAATACAGTTAGTGGCACTTATAAACATTTTATTCTTCCATTAAAGGTCTTATATTACAGAAAGTTGACTCTTGTGATCTTTAAGCCATGTTACAATGTTACTACCTCATCATAAACATACCCAAAGTTGTGCTTTGTGTCAATTACACACGTTTGTGTAATCCTGCTTTTATTAGTCTGTCTATATATTCAAAAGTAAAAGTGGTTTGTTCCACCTTGTGATGTCATTAAGCAGTAGTTCTTATGTCAGCAGCTACTGTTTACTTTTTGTTTAGTATAGATTAGCAATTCCAGGGCTGTAATTATCCAAATGATTCCAGTGACGATGTATAGAATTTGATAACCACATGACATCACAAAGTGGAAGAGTTTTTGCAGGATTTGTGTGTTAAACATGTGTGAATGAAACAAAACACAGCTGCGGGCCTGTTTACTTCGAGAATGCTTGCAGGTAAAAATCACAGAATATTTTATCAGAAGTGCCTTTCGTTTAGACAAAAATCTGAAACCACCGTCCAGAGTAGAAAAGTTGAATACGCTCCGACATAGCATTTCCATCGACACTGCCCAAGACGCAAAACTCTGGTCAGGTCTTCTCATGTCACGTAGACGTTTACGTCACATACATCACCACCTAGCGTCACCACCTAGCCTCGTGGCATGCACACCAAATCGAGTTCCACACACTTTTGCGTCACAGTATGCATGCAGATTTCCTCCCGAAAACATTTGTCTAAACGTGAAATAAAAAGTGAAGATGCAAGGCCACTTTTGCGTCTTCTGTTCAGATCATCATCATATAAATGTAGCCTCAGAGTATGTTTGTGATGAGAAAACAACCTTTTAACATACATCAGAAAATAATGTAATATCGCCCTTTTAAGAAAGGCTTCATTGGTAATTTTCCCCTTTCAAATAAATTGTAATAAATATAAAAAACTGAAAAGCAGCTATGCAAAAGATTCATTCTGGCAATACTTTCAACAGAAATGCCCTAACTAGCAATATTTTATTATTAGTTTGAGAGTGATTCAGGCTCAGTAACTACTTAATTAAGGGGTTAGGTAGAAATTAAGTAGCTAATGTTAAGTATTTTTCCTTTTTGAATGAAGTCTTTCTTCATGCTTTTTTAAGGATAATTAAGGCACTTTAATTATTACTGAGTAAGCTACCATACAAATATGTGCTCATGTAACTATAATAGTATAATTGGAAATATCTGTGTTTTCTGTTTTCTGTTCTGCTTTCACTCTGTACAAACCAGCTTGAAGTGGCATGATGAGAGCGTCTCTTTGGTTCTTTCACTTTGTGGTGAAACCAAAGCCCAGAACTGTGCGTCCCAAAGCCCAGCAGCCTGCACCACTAACTGGCCTCTCCTCACTCACCCTCAGCCCTAATCCACTGTTTACACAAACGCTGGCCAGTAATGATAGCCATGAGACCAGGGACCACCCCGCGTCCCTACATGCCCCCACCTCCACACCCTTCACCGCAGCCCCCACCAGCACCGACCACCATATCCCAAAGCTGTTTTCTCAGGAGCCAAACACCTTAAATACATAATTAGTCAGGTCATTTGTGCATTTGGGCCCCCAGCGAGGGCCAGAGTGTGTCCGGGTGCAAGTTTGTCAGAGGGTACGAGGGGGGTGAGGGGCAGAGGGTGACGAGCAGAGGGATGGGGGCAGGATATAAAGACGTGAGAGACCAGGACAAAGGCATGCATTCATGGCTGTGCCCTGGACAAACCCGCCTGTCGCCTGCTTCAAAGGCCCACTCTGCCTCTCCTCTCCAAAGCCCATAGAGAGGCCACACGTTTGGGGCAGAAGGAGAAACATAACAGAGGCACGCATAGGTGAGAAGAGGAAGAGGGGAGTGTGGGTAGCCATGCAGAGGTTACCAGATCTGTCATCCAGGAAGGAAATGGTTAAGACTGAGGGGATAGAGCTGGAATTTAGTTTGGTTAATAGTTAATGGGAGTCTCATTTTAAATCTCATGTAAAATGTACCACGTTAAAACCTTAAGTTACATTCAATAGTGCACTAACTTTATTTTAATCATTTGTCCTTTCCTGTTGCAACCAGCCACATTCAGAGAGGCAATGAAGGGTGAGTGTTTTGCTAGAGGGCACAATTACAGTATGTGCTCAGCTTAGGCAAGCTTTGAACTTTTGACCCTGTGGAAGGAGTGACTTTAACCACCTGCTGCACCAAGGAGTAACAAAAGCACTTTAACTGCACTTGATTGCCAGTTAGAAGTATTAGTATTATGTAAAAGTAGCCAAAATAGCAACACGAACTTTAAGACCTAAAAAAAACCCTGTATATTTAAACTTTTGTTCTATTTTTATTGCATGGTTCACAGTAAACCTCAGCAGAGTTCATGAAGTGTTTGGAGTGTATTCAACACAACCACACAAAACCCCCTGCATAACCCCTGCACCTTGAACTCTGACCTGGTGCATTGTGGGTAGTCAAATCCCAGTTTGCCCTGTGCAAAGGCCCAGAATTCCAGTGGTCCATGTTTCACACTAGGAGACCTTTGTGTGGGATAACTGCTCTCACACTCCCATACACCTAGTCTGGCCCAGGACGCCCCCCTCCTGGCATTGTTTACCAAAGCATGTCCACTTAGCTGTGCCCTGTCTGCCCTCAGCCTCGCCGCTATTACCCACATCCTGAGACACTTTTTTCTTTATTTTTCTTCCCATTGCACTTTCACTTCCCGGGACCTAGAGTTTTTCCTTCTGTGCAGGGGTTGAGGAATTATACAATTAATAGAACATTGATTCAAGTAAAGCTATAATATGAATGTTTATTTATATTATGTCTCTGTTATAAAATAAGTGGCCTTTAAACATTATAGGTGTTGTAGGCCTACCTGATTGTTACTGGCTTAAAAACATGAAACATTATTAGCTAATATCAAACAGTTTTCAACAATCCAGAAGTACTGATCACTTTCCTAACACATTATTAACAATCTACATATTCACCACAATGAGTCTATAAGTGTTTTTCACAACTTTCAGAGGCCATAGAGATAATGCTGACAATTACTAACATGCTAACAACACAATTCCTAGTTCAATGAGGACAAAAAGTGAAATAAGATGCAAACAGAGCACAGCAGTCTCATTTTAACCCCAAGAGCTGCTTTTGCAAAATACAGTATTGGGGCAACACATTTTAATTTATTTTAAAGGAAACAGCCCCTTTAAGATAATCAAACCTTGATCTTAAAACAGCACACGTGTATTTTAGGGATAATCATATTTCATTACTCCACTTACATTAAATCCATCCAATTACTGTCATAACTTTTCTATACTACATCTACAGCCTCTACTACTGCTTGTTTGACAGCAAAAAGTTATTTTAGTGTTTATTGAAATGTTAGCTTGGAGTAGAGTGGCTACTCCTCCACACTGAGACAATTGGTCTTCACAAATATCACCAGGAGGAAACCATTACAGTGTAGGAAATATCTGTCTTTTCTACTACTGATTGTGACATATTGTTCCTGCACACGTGCGTATGAATGGATGCCAGCACAAAGACAATAAAGCCTAAGTTCTGCCTGTTCTTTTTATGTCCACTTTATTCATTTGATCCCAGTGGCCTGTCTGATCCCTGTTCTCTTTTATGCTCTGGATCACTATATCAGACCCCCCCTCCTCTCCCGCTTCTCAAAGTAATAAGGCCCTCCAGCAGTGGGAAGTGGAGGGCAGAGGACCTTTTATGTCCTTTAGCTGTGAGGATCAGGCCGAGCTGCTGGAGGAAAAGTAATAAAGCCACCGCACCAACCGTCTGATGCCCCCGGATCCTGGACCAAAGCCCGGCTGCTGCCAACTCCACAGGCCTGGAGAAGCTCATATTTCCTGTGCACTCTGAAGGCATCACTTCAAGAACAACACATAACCCTGAGCTCACACAGCCACTGCAGAAAATACAGCAAATATTTTAAGTTGAAGTGCAAAATTATGTATTGTGATGCTAAGATGATCAAAATAATTATTTAAAAGGGCAATATTGTGCTGTTTTCTGATCTGTGTTATAATGTTGTTTCCTCATCATAACATAACTGGAGTTGTGTTTGTTTCATTCACACATGTTTAACACACAAACCTGGCATTTTTAGTTCTTTCTTCTCCAAATCAGAAAACACTCTTTCTGTTTTCTGTTTGAGAATGACATCACAACTGCACCTTGTGATGTCGTGTGGTAATACACTGTGTTTTTAATAATCTCCACAACCCATTACTAAAATCATTAAGATGATTTCAGCACTGGAATTGCCAATCTTTACCGAACCACTTAATGACATCACAAAGTGGAACAGAGCTTTTTTAAACTTTGGAGATGTAAACAGACTAATAATAAATAATTACTTAAAAAAACAACAACAACAACTCCAGGTATATTTTTGAGAAGGTAACAACATTCTAACATAGTTTAAAGCTTTCATATGTAACTTTGTGCAATAGGACCTTTAGTAAATGCTTTCCAACTCTGCCCCTTTCATATTTGCAACTGAAATAAATGGCTTGGATTTTTCAAACTGATAACAACCTACAACTTTTATAATGAATCCACTGAACTATAAGGTAGTAGGCTACTATTTTATCATTTGGATATTAAAATAAACTAAAACTATACAGAGGAAATGTGTCTATTGGTTGTCATCTTGATGATTCATGCTTTGAAATATGTGGTGTTTCTAATTCCTCTCATTTTTGTGGGTCAATATTTACAACAACCAGACTTTAGACTTGTTTTTAAAGCAGCAGAAATGAATTTATTGTCAAAAACATAAATATATAAATTATAACTGTTGCTGTCAAATCGGATCAAAAAGAAAAGTAGTTAGGTCACTGTTGCATTTATCAGACAGCTGCAAGTGTGGTCCCTCTTTCACTGAGAAAACTAAAACATGAGTGAAATGTGTTACGGTCCTAGCACCAGGTTCAAGTCCTAAGCCTATATCAAGTATGGTCTAAAAGAGTGGCATCAGGAAGGGCATCCAGCTTAAAACATACAGATTATTAACTACTGCACATAGACAGCCAATGTTTTGTTGTGATAATAGAATAAAAATTGTATATTAGCACCATAGTAGTCACAGATGCTTATGGACAGTAGTTGAAAAAGCAAGTTCCTCATTTGACTTTCGCTTGACTCACTCTTAACCTGTTTTCGGAAAGGGCCCGGTTAGACATTCATCCGGAACTACAGGAAGTGATTGTTTGTTTCATTGGGGCATTAGTTCAAGTTGCACCTAAACACACACACACAGTTGTATGTACTATATCTGCTTGTATGGGGCTGCATAGGTGTGAGTTCCTTCAAAGGGCGGAGTGATCGGTGTTCTGTCAGAGCATGAGCTAAGACTGACTAAACAAGACACCCATTCATTCCAGCCTCACTCATTCACTCTTTGAGTTCAGTGGAGGTGAACTTTGCTCTCCGCGGGCACCACATGTGTGGCGGCAAATCAGGGTGTGCGCCAATCTTTGTGATATGGAATGAATGGGCACGTCTTCCCCTTCAGACGTGCATGCTGTGAATAGTTGCTTCAGTAAACCACAAGGGGTACTATGCAGGGATGGTACAAGTTCTCGTGCCACAAGATCTCGCGAGACAAATTTGCCACAAGGTTATGCACACAAGAAAAAATTATCTTGTGAGATTTTTTTCCATGTGTTTACATTTGGATTGGACAAAAAGGGTTACGTGTTGATGAGTTACATCTCTTACAGTTCCAAAAAGCACTGCTAGAATGAAACAAAACTATGAAAACAAATAAATAAAAAAATGTGAGGCCAAAATTGTAAACTGAAAAGAGAATTTTGTAAATTAGGAATTATGTTAAAATCTCATCTTGTCTCGTTCTTGTGCACCCAATCTTGTATCTCGTCTCGTCTTGCAGAAATTGTGTCTCGTCCCATCCCTAGTACGATGTGTATGTATGTTTTAGGTAGAGGGTCCGAAACCTTCTCTTCTCCACGGGGATGTTGTTGGTTTGCCTGAAATGTTCCATATACTGACATAAAACCTAACAATTTGCATGGAGATAATCTAGTGACTCCACCAAAGCAAGCACTATTGACAATAAAAACAGACAAACAAAAATTTTAAAAAATTAACATATATAGGTCAATATCATACTGTGGAACCTCTCAGGCAAAGCATTAATATTTACTTGAGAAAAGCAGGTGGTGAACCCTCCACCAGAAAACCAATGTGCACTGACTTATTTTTAGATTTGCATAATTTGTCAATGCTTTAAATGTGATCATGAAATTATTGCACCTGTCTCCTAATGTTGTTTAAAGACAAAGGCCAATGCACTGAACTGAACTATGACAAAAGAGAACAATTGTTTACAGATATTAGTAAGCATAATATATTTTATAACAAAAATAAAGCATCTTCCTGACACTCACATCTCCTACTTGTGTCACACATCCAAACCATTTACAACTCCGGACATCAGTTCATCGCTCATTAGTGTAATACAATAAGAAACAGGATAAAAAATGACACTTTTCAGATTGTGACACTGCAGAGAAGTAGAGCACACTGAAGTTCATGCACGTCTCCAAAAATCTTACATCTCACTTTTTCGCTTGTACTGAAAGAGACAAAATACACATGTCCACACATATAAATAGTTTATAAGAAGCGGTGCATCTTCTGTTTTATTTTAGATTTAGCTGAACAGAGCACAAGAGACTATCAAAAGCTGCTGCTGTTTTCAGGAAATGTTTAGTGCTCCACAGAGAGTCTTTAAAACAAAACATCTCTCCCACAGTTCTCTTGTTATATTCTTTTGTTCTGTTCAAGTCTTTAAAACAGCACTTTTATGTTGCCCAGTTGGAGGTTGTCCACCACTGTGTCCCAATCCAAGCAACACATTCCCACATTTTCCTCTTGATCCACTGTCTTGTTCAAAAGAAGTCTGTTAAAATGACCAGACTGGCTCTCATTGTGTTCAGCTCACAGCTCCTCTCTCTCTTGCTTCCGTCGGTGCAGCTGACTGTAACAGTTGCCCATAGCACAAGGAAGTCCTCATCATAGTTTTTGTTATTTAAAAAAGCACCTTTGGCATCTTCTGGATTTGTATTTCATTGTCTCTTGGCTTTACAGGATTTGAAGCAGAGGTGGCACGGTGGTACGGGAGAAGACACACGCTCTCCCATCCTCTTCTTAGGAGCGCACCGATGCCGAAGCTCCTCTTTCTGATTGGTCTCACCTCACGTCCTCTGTTGAGAAAAAAATAAAAATAATTAAATAAATTGGCAATAAAAATATCAAAGGAAAAATTGCATAATGTGCCACAATTTCAATCATGCATTAGAGTACGACTTTGTAATAAATACACTTAATAGCCTTTATAAAGCATGAACTTAACTCATAATGAACAAATAGTTTAAGATCGATTCAGGCTTAGTAACTGCTTAATCAAAGGGTTAGGAGTTAGTGTCAGGTTATAAAAGCTTTATTATTTATTAAAATACATATCAAGAGTTCAGTTTTAAAAACAGACAACTCAGTTTCCATTACTGCAACAAAGTGTAAACTTCAAGCATCCGATGAGTTTGAAATGGCACATGACAGTTCATGTTATCATTACAAGTTACAAGGCTGAATCATTCTTATGAAAGTATTTGTTCATTATGAATTAAGTATTTTTTTGTGCTTGATTAAGGTTATTATGTATATTTATTATAAAGTGTTTTTTTTTTTTTTTTTACAAACAAAGATTCAAAACCATTTTCAATATTGGTGTAGATGCAGTGGGGATTTCCGTGCATGCAGTTTTATCGGTGACAAAATTGGCACAAAACCCCCAAATAATCGTGCCCACTGAGTTAAGCAGTGATCAAACAGGCCTCATGCAGCAGTGCCTCCTCTCACACCGATTTGGCTGTGATTGGTGATTGGTCTTATTATCCTGTGCCCTGATTGGTTCAAATTAACAAGTGCCAAAGGTGAAAGGTCGCCGCCGTGTTTAGTAGCCATACCTGTTCCCCTTACAGCACTCCAGTGGACTTTGGGCAACAACTTTTATTACGTTGCGAATAAGTCCTTGCTGGCCTTTAGCTTTTTATTTTTCCTCTTTTTACTCTTAACCCTAAGAGCGCCTGGAAACAAGGGAAAAGGGGGAGTAAGAATGTAGTTACAAGTCAAGAGCCAGGGTTTATGGAGCAGAAATGGAACAAAAGCGCAGAGATAGCACACATAATAAATACTTAAGCCTTATCTGCTGGCAGCTAAGGTCTTATCAGCTCAGTGTGAGAGAGAAGGGCTGGAGATCAAATAGCCGGCTGTCATGCCAAGCAGCCTTTGGACACCCAGCCATAAGTGAAATGCACTCTCGGACACATTTGCACCTCACACACACACAAGCACACACACGTACACAAGAAGAAAGACAGAGCGGCAAAAACACAAGCATTGAGGCAGTTACAGGTAGAGGTCAACAGGTGCAAAAGGCCAGACAGGAGGGGAGATGTCTCAGGTAATAAAGGGGCGCTGTGGCTCGTAGCATGAAAGAGGTGACAAATGGTACTAGAACTGTAGCAAAAGTTTAATCAAAGGACTTTTTTTCCTAAGATTTCCAAAGATATAAGTATTTGTTTTTTCCGCTGAATGGTAAGGCACCTGATTGTTTCCAGAAAGATGTTATGGCGTCACCTGGAATGTTCCACAGTCTTGCATTAAATATCTACTTAGTATTTTTCAACTGAAGTTTAATTCCATACTGTGGAACATTCTAAGCAAAACATTATCTCCATGGAGGCAGATGGCAGATCTTCAAAAAGAAAAGTTATATAGTGCAACTTTAAGAGTAAATTTGAGCTGTTTCTACATGTTTTTGATGAGATGAGCTGGCTAGTCAGATAACGAGATAGATTGCTAACTACTCTGGCTATATGAGGTGCACTCTATCAGTTGAACCACCGAAATGTATAATTATACATATTTTTTATTTATAAATTTTTACTTTATACTTCCACAATTGTGTTCATCCAGTGTTAATGAAATGACATTCACCTGTTTCTGCTTCTGAGTGCTCCATGACGTGATGCTGTGACGTGCACACACACTCCAGGTGGTCTTCTAACCGGACAAAGACCTCTTTCAGTTTGGGTCTTCTCCTCACGTACTCCACTTTGGCCACCTGGGGAACACAGGAGATGTTAGCTGCATACATATACCACACACTTCTCCAAAGGGCAAGACACTGTGACTGGTTACAAGCCTGATTCATCAGCCGGTTTCACTTCATAGAAACTGTCTGACCTCACAGCATTAGGAGTCGTTCACTCAACGGTAGGCGGGTACTTTATTTAATTTAACCCATCACTCCAATTTTGTCATGATGTATGTAATGCCTGCTAATGGGTCTAACTGGTATATTAAGCTTTTCCCAAATCCTGTAGGAAGAAGGGCAATAACATATTTCCTCTTAATAAAATTCACCAAACATTCTCTTTGTTCCTCAATCTGGGGAATCGTTGCCAACACAGAATGTATGGCTCTTCGCTTATTGGCAACTCCGAACTCGCACTTCCAGGGTTTTTGTGACCCATCTAGTGTATTTCGATTCCTGACCTCGTCGCTGGAGAGAAATAAAATTGAGCAGAGGCACTAGGTGGCGCCAGTCTGGCTAACTGGTTACACCTTGTTGAATGGCTTCAGAGAAATGTGATTTGGTGCTTGTGTGGCTGGAACATATAATAATATATATTGTAAATCATACCTCACAATCAGTTGTGTATCATTGAAATCTGCAGTACAAATAAATAATAGAAAAGGCATGCATTTTAGTGTAAGTTGACAGTTACTTTATTCAATGAATTACCTTTTCATAGACTAAAACAATTGTACTGTATAAAATGTGCTTTTTGCTTTTTCCATTTTATATCTTTGCACAATCACATAATGCAAAGTTTTTTTTCTCAAACTCCCATTCCCTTAAAAATAAGGCAACGCTCAAAAGAATCAGGATTTTCTACCTACTGTACCCCACCAAACCCTTTCAATTTAACACAATAAACCCAACTTCCAGTAGCATGTATAAACTAGCAGGTGTGATTCCCCTGCATTATGTTGATTAAAGCTAGCCTGAAAGCTGAACAGAAAAGGTTGCTTGGAGGTTAAGATGATTTTGTTACATAATGCAGGTGTTCTATACATTTCGTTCTCTGATCTTGGTGTCAAGGGGTATCTAACATCCTCTACCCTGCTTAGCAAACCCCCGAGGCCTTCCAGAAACAATATCGCCGGCTTCTCCTAACATCACGAGAAAGGATATTGGCCCAGAATCTCCCAGAGCTGTCTGATGTTATGAACAACACTTTTTTTGTCGACATGCAAAGAACCAAAAGGCCAGAGTTTATGGGCGGCATTTCTTTGCTCTATCCTGACGTGGAGCACTGCCAACACTTGGAGAGCAAATTAGTCATGCCCGAAGAACGAACATACCAATCTCAGTCTGATAAAACAAAGTGGGATCTGCCTCGTGTCAAAAACAGAGACATTGACCTGCGCTTCAAAACACTTCCGAAGAGGACACAGGGCAGAGAGGAAAGGAAAGATGGACAAATGTAGGGTGTAAGTAAGCAAGAGGAGGTATGCGTGAGCAAACAGATGACAATAGTGTCTGCTGGCTCTTATCGCTCCAGGACACTCGGAGTGAGAGAGGGGGAAAGGGTCCCAGGGCAGGAAGGTGGAGAGCCTCATTAAATAGTGTGTGTGTGTGTGTGTACGTGTGTGCATGTGTGTGATGGTGCAAACACAGGGGACTATTTAGGATTAGGAGGACAGCGCATCGACTACTTATTAACATTAACACGCATGGTTACCTATTGGGGAGATTTGTTACACTAATGATGACAAGACAGATAAAGATGGACAAAAGACAAATGTGTAGTTTATTGTTTCTTATCAAGAGCACTCAAGCAAATTAAGTTCCCTGTAATTGGTGTAAATAACAACATAATTTTGGCAGTTTCACTACAGTGGTTTTGATGAGGTAACCATATTATCCTATAACATGTTTTAAAGCTCCAAAAGTTACGTTACATTGGATATTTTATTTATTTATTTATTTATTTTTATGTATATTGAGTATATCTTGACATCATCATGAATTTAATAAAATGTGATGTGGAAAAAATACTATTCCACTTTAAATACCGAAACAAATAGTTTGGTAAGTGACCAATCAAAATTCACACAAATATAATCTTGTTGTTTGTCCAAAGTTATGGATGGGTGCATGAAAATATGAAAGGGTCTTGACTATTATCATAATTGCTTGGCATTCACTTCCATTGTAGTTGTTTGAGTAGATTGAGAAGCCATCCATCTTACTGTTACATTCTGAAACCGGATGCTATGCTAACCCTGCAAGCTATTATGAGTCAAATGAGTCTTTGTGGCTCTTTAATGATCTGACAAACAAAACAGTGACAGCAAGATCAATGTGGTGGGGCTCCTTGACGAGAGGCCCAGCATTCCCTCCGTTAAATTCAATAGCATTAAAAAACACACACTGTCTGCTTTGGTTTCACATTCAGTTTACTCATAAAACAATCCTGTACTTCCTATCCCACATTTTTACATAAACAATTTTCTCCATTCCTGTTTTAAACGACATTTTGAAAGAGTCATTATGGATGTGTAGTCATCAACTTATCGCATACATATGAAAGAGACTCCATGCGAAGTCTTTGTATAAATCACAAATATAAAAGACGGTGCTTGAGTCCCGGAGTGGAGGGGCCAAGTAGGGGTCCGGGTCAGGAGGTGCTAACTTCCCTTTTTTAAGCTTGGGTCAGATTAATTGGGAATTCCCTTTTGCTCAGATGATGAGAGCATGATGGAACGGGAACACGCGATGTCCAAGGAAAGAGGAATGAGGGAAGTGAAAGCAAATACACAGCAAGTTTGTGTTTTAGAAGAAAGGAGAATTGAAAGAAGGTTGATTTACATGTAATTGGGTTAACAATCTGTTTTATCTTCCTATAAGCATAAAAATGGCACCTGTGTTTATTCATAAAGATCCCTTAACAACTGAATTGAAAAGAAAGCTTTCCGTAATGACAGACTTGGAGTTATTGAGAGTAAATTGCAGAGGCTGACACTGATGTGAAATTAAAGAGTGGGAGATGCAAGTGTAGCAGAAAAATGAGGATCTTGTAAAAGCGATTTCACAAAACAGACAATAAGACTCCAGGTAACCAAGCTCAGCAATGAAATCAGAAGAGAGTGGACAAGGAATCGATAATAATGGGCTATTTTATGGAAGATCATTTGTTCCATCAGAGTTTGAATTTTAAATCCTGCTGAACTTTTTAACTCTGAAAAAAGATGTTTGAAGTTTTTACAAAGTGAGAAAATCAACAGCATTTAAAATTCAAAATGTGGTGAAACAAATGATCTTCCATACTATGTAACCTCCAATGTCCAAAAATGTATTTTCTTAGTTGTTCAGATGTGAATACAGAGACAGTTGCTGAGGATCTTAATTTTATCTTAATTTTTATGATGTCCCAACTGAGATGTGATGTGCATTGAAATAGTGTTGTCACACATGATAAGTCACACATGACTAAAATTTGACTTTGATACTACAAAAAGAAAAAAAGAAACAGAAGAAGAACAGAAGATCTTTTATAGCAGAAAGGAAATAGATCAGTGATTGAGATTTTTTTCCCAGTATCAATGCTTGTTTGAGTAACTAGCTTAGTTTCAGTATGTAGTAATAGTATTTATATTATTATATTTCATGTGAACACCATAAAGCACAAGCTAAACTGTAATGAAAATGTATTTGATTTGATAAAATGTGCTGTTTATTACATTTTGTATTTAATGATGCATTGTGTAACTTTTCTGGTGGAGGGTCAGGTTTTCTTCATTGAGATGTTATTATAGTCAGGCTGGCGCCACCTAGTGCCTCTACTCAATTTAATTTCTCTCCAGCGACTAGGTCAGGAATAGGAGTACATTAGACGGTTTGCAAAAACCCCGGAAGTGCGAGTCCGGGCACCAGCCAATCAGCGAAGAGTCATATATTCTGTGTTGGCAACGATTCCCGAGATTGAGGATTTAAAGCCTGAACAAAGAGAATGTTTGGTGAATTTTATCAAGGGAAAAGACGTTATTGCCCTTCTTCCCACGGGATTTGGGAAAAGCTTTATAGGCCAGTTCTCCCCGTTAGCGGCACATTACATACGTCATGACCAAATAGCACCATTGGTTAAATTTTAAAAAGTGCCCGCCTACCGTCGAGCGAACAAATTCTAACACTGCGAGGTCAGACGGTTTCCACAAAGTGAAACCAGCTGATGAATCAGGCTAATGTTTTTGCTTTGTCTGGAATGTTTCACAGTATGGTATTAGACCTTTCTATCTTGATGGAGACCAAACCAGACCAAGTTATAGGCCAGATCTGGGGAGAGGCGACCGCTCTCACTGTCAGAATGCCTGTTTTTCTAGGTATTTTTGAGCTATAAAACCACTTGAAATTGGATAAACAGAGCTGTTTAATGTCATACTGTGGAATATTCCAGGCAGAGCAATGACATATCCATAGAGACAAGCAGGTGACGGACCCCCCACCAGAAAAGTTACAATGCACCTTTAAATTCTAAACAGTGTCCAAACTTTTCTGATCTGGCGCTGCACTGATACATTCCAGTGGGTGTTGCAGTAGCTCAAACTGCTATTTTTTGTATTTTTTTCATAGAGCCGCTCCCATGGTCCTCTGTGACCCGCCCAGCCAACCCCTGCCATGTGAATCCCTTCTTCATCCAACAGTTAGAAGAGAAGAGAATCAAAGAGAAAATAATTCACAGCTGCAATAAGAGCGACTTCAAACAAGCAAGGCCCCCACTTTCCCATGTACCCCCCTACTCCAAAACCCCGCCCCCCCTTTACCCCATGTAATCCATAGACCATAAATTACATTCACTGTATCATCGTCACACCGTCTTCGTATTTATGAAACACCCCTTAAGTCACAAACCCACCAAAACCACAGTCTTGGAGGGACTGGAGGGGGGAGATATGAAATGGGGGCTATGGGCTGTCAGCTACTGCTTTTGGGGATGAGAAAACTCCAATAAAAAAACATGGCTGTGTCCGTCTGGTCTCACTCACTCTCCTGCTTTGATCCAGAAAGCATCAGCACTTCATTTATCAGTGTCCAGCAATTACCACTGACCTGTTGTGGATAAACTATGTCCATTTATAGTTGCCTCAAATGCGCCTTCAAAATAAGCCTCTATCAAATAACTGAGCTACTGAGCAAAAGGTAATGAAGCGAATTGAAATTTATGTGCACTGATTCAATTGGGACAGTTCACTGAAGTGGGTACTTACATGGTTCTCTAGCTGAAAAATGTTGGGGAAAAACTGCAGAACAATTGGCATACTACAAATCATCACAAAATCTTATAATATCTTAATTTGAATCAGTATATTTAAGGAGATTTTCTCAAATATTTACACAGCATAGTTAGGGGCTTTAAAACTAAACTGTTTTTCTGCATCTCCCTGTACTAAAAAAATACTGAACAAGATTGAATCCACTGTTTACTACTTGTCCACTGACCAAAACAAGTTGTAGATTTCACTTACACTACAAACACTAATAGTAGTAGCATTATAAATAGGTTAGTGTGCAAGTTTAAAAAGTAGTGTGGCAACTTAGCATGATGTACGCAGCAAGTAAGCGAACAAGTAAATCCCTAATAATGAAGTGTTTTGACAGGGATTATCTTATACCAATCTAATGTTAAATATCTGGTATCTGTTTGCAATTCACTGAATGGCGGAAGCTTTAATGGCTTAATGAGTATAAGGATAAATGACAGCTCCATTCTTTGCCTGTGTCACGGCATGTTTACTCAGCCCCATTGGAAGAGCAAACATTTCAGCTTCAGTTTCAACATGCATAAATGAAAAACAATAATACTTCAGGTAAATGCAAAAAGGATATGAATTTTGGGGGGTCTTGGGGGAGTAGTTACATACCCCGTTTACGCTAGCATAACCCTGGAAGTGCTCAAAATGTTCTGCCAGACGTGTGCGATAAAAAGCCACATTTTTTAATACCGTAATGAGAAGAAATGTCAAGGAAGTATTTTGATGGAGAGGGGAGAGCTGAGATGCTGTGATCTGGGGAGTGGATTTGGAGTCACACAGAGTGCAAGCGGAGGTGGTGTGTGTGTGTGTGCGTGTGTGTGTGTGTGTGTGTGTGTGTGTGTGTGTGTGAGAGGGAGGGGGGTGTAAGGGGCAATCGGGACGGGTGGGGGGAGGAGCCAAAGGAATGCTGTGATGAGAGAGTCCCAGAATTCAATCATCTGGTCTAATCTGTTTTCAACTTTTCTGACAGCATATTTTTATCAGGCAATTTAATGTGGCTTGCTTTCTACCCTACTTGCATAACTCCTCAAAAAATATCTCAGTTAATCTGCTTGCAAACAAAATGGCTTAAATAAAAAGAAATAACATAAGTGAGAGAAACAAAAGAGATTGGCTTTTGAGATCTGCTCTGCTACTCCCTAGGGCCAGTCCTACTTTAAGTTGCCATTTTATTGCCCTGCCACTGAACAGCAGGGCAGGCTACTACAGTAACACAACCTGCACCAACTTGCCTCATTTTCAGTCTGCAGCAATACACTGGAGAAAAGGTGAAAAAAGTGAATGATGCTGTCTGTATGTGTGGACAAATGCACAGTGGCACGAGCTGGAAAGACACACAACCAAAGCGTTCTTTTCCCATCCCTTGGCCAGCACAAGCAAAACAAGACTGTCTCGGGGCAAGGCGGCGACATTTTTAGCCTTTTAATAAACAGAAGTGCAAACTGGAGCTCTATTCAGTCTGGCTCCTCTGAGGAACACTTGGCATCGCACAATGTTTCACTCTCACAATGTCTGACCCAAGCACAGCCCTAGCTAACAGATGACCCTTATTCAACAGATTCTGGCCCCTTGGCCCGCGGGTGCAACCACACGGACAAGACACAACAACACCCACAAAACACAATCCAGCCCATCCCGGGACGCCTTAAGGTCCATGTCAAGTCTGAGCTTTTTGCCCTCCAAGCATCATAAAAAGGGGGACACTGATGAGTCACATGGAACGATGGCATTCCAGAAATAGCTGAATCTGGGTTTACTGTCTCCAACTGCGCCGCTGCCTGTACAGATGACAGAGGTCTTATTGATGGCAGTGGGTAGAGTTTGTAAGCACTTAGTCCATTTTATATCAGTGTGCCTAGTATGTGTCTGTGCTGTCCGGCAGTGTCATTACGGAATAGTGGACACTGTGTAATCCAAAGTGCTCTTTTTATATAGAGCGTGTGATACTGTCGATAAGAGCTTTATTGCTGTTGTTTGTTCAAGTCAGAATAACTTGGGCATTGCGTGTGGCATGTTGAGATTGTGTACTATGTGAGGCCAAATGAAAACAAGTGGGTTTGCATCTGATGCTCTTCCAAATGAAACTTTATCCCTTTACACAGGCTTGGGACTAGCACTGAGATCATAAGGACTTTCTTGTGCCAGTATAAAAGATTAAAGGTGCACTATATTCCTTTTCTGGAGGGGGGTCTGCCAAATTCTTGTTTCCATGAAAATGTTTTCACTTTGGCTTGAATATTCCACATTTATTATGGTTAAAGTGCAGAGGTCCAAAAATGCCACAGACCTGTAACTTGGCCTGAACTTGGCATCACTTGCTTGCCTCCATGGAGATAAGATACATTTTATGATGTACTGTGGAATATTCTGAGCAAAGAGATCTCCAAGGTGGAAAGCATGCAATGGACCCTCCATTAGAAATGTTAAAGTGCCTTTAAATTAAGCATGAAGTCAAACATTCACATTAAACAACTGCTTGTTAAGAAGAACAATTAATATGGAGTGTCCTTGTTTATGTAACAACAGCAAGAACAGGAAACAAAATTCAATGCTGGACAAACAGCAGTCACCTGTACTGCCATTAAGTGTTATGAAGGGAAGCAGGCTGCCTTGTTTATGACTTAGTTGCCCTGTTCCAAGCACAGACACACACACTGGCAGGCACTTGTGTAAATACAGCTAAAATACTGTTCGCTGTGATGCAGAGCAGAGGGACATGTTTTGGAGTTACCAGCACATCAATTTTTGGCGTCCATCTTCTTCTGAAAATAGTCACTGAGCTAAGCAAACACTGAAGAAGAACTGCCCCGGGCATTAAGTACCAAGTGACAATCAGACCTACTCGAGATACAAGAGACACTTTCTCTCAGGCCCTACTTAGTGGCCTGGCTGGACTACCCCCTCTCATAGGCCGGACCCCTCAGCAGATGTCCCAGATGAGGGTGCCAACAATCTCTTCCTCCCCTGTGCTCCTCTTTCTCCTCCTGGCACAGCTTGAGCTCTGGCCTGCAGCCCAACGTGGGATAGAGTGATGAAGAGAGAGGGTGCTGATTGGCTGTAATGGAAGGAGAGGCAGGAGGGGGGCAGCAGCGGAGGTGCGGTGGCCACTATTTGGGTTCATTCCAAGGAGGGGCTGAGTTGCAGCCCAGTGGACAGAAATAATGTTCCTATTGGGTGTCGTGAGGTTGTGTTTTGGTTCCCATAGTGACCAGGCTGACCTTAACCAAGTGCTGACCATGTATAAACTACTACTGTATCAAAACACGATCTCAAAGATTACTTCAAAAATATAGATAACAGTCATGTGTCACTATTTTGTATGAGTAGAAACTATGTATGTACTTCAGTAACATCAAGTTTGATGTAGTATTTTGAGAATTATACACCCTTAAAATGTAATACTTTGTTAAAGGTGCACTATGTACTTTTTCTGGTGGAGTGTCCGCCACCTCCAACGGAAAGGTTATTGCTTTGGTAAACAATTCAAGCCTTGAAACAGGCATTATTACAGTGATGGGGCTTGCCGCTCCACATATCTGACCTGTAACTTTGTCCAGTGTTTCTACAGAGATGGATATAAATTGAATGTCGCATTCTCTGCAACATTCTCTCTGGACATAAGTAGCTTGTGTCCCTCAAGTGGGCATAATGTAAAAGTAAGAAATCAAAAAAATAAAACTGACAGAACAAGCATATGCACACCTTTTCAAATCATTTTGATCACCTCTTTTGAGTTCTGAAGAACCAATAAAACTCATAATAAATGCTTAACTGTAGCCAGCCTTTTACTGCTGACTTGCTGCTGTGTTTCAGACAGGTGTGAAGAAAATGAGACGCGGGGAGGGACGGGAGGCAGACGCACTGACCCAGCATTGACTTGTGATTTACTTACCTGCTCAGACTGACAGTACTGGACGCCACTAACGCTGTGAGTGAGTAATCAATCTAGACTAGAGCTATAGCCGTGTGTGTGTGAGGTCTGCATACTTGGTCCTCCACCAACCATCCCATTATATAGTCGGTCAAAAACATTACAACTTCATGACGTAACTGATTTCCAGACATTCCAAATAAAGCATAAGGATTGTGATAAACAGCTGCTAACAAACAACAATTTTATTATAGAAATTGCTAATATAAAGTCTCATTCTAAAACCCATATTGTTGCTTTGTTGCATATGAAGGGCCCGCCAGTTACTTAAGTCTCCATGGAGATGTTATTGCTTTACCTCTAATACTTCAGGGTATGGCATTAAACATTTCACTATCCATAGAAACAAGCAGGAGATGCAAACAGGCCAATTTACAGGTGAGATCTCTGAAGAGGTGAGCCCACTCACACAAGGGATATAATATAGGATATAATAAGGATACAGGATAAGTATGAATAAAAAAGATATCATATTTTGGTTCAGATTGTTAATAGTGATGGCTACAGTCAAATTTTCCATCATTTTGAAACCCATGGATAAAAGAATCACTTTCTCAAACTCTTATTCAAGCCTATATAGATATTTTGCACTTGTATCTCGATGTAGTGTCATATTTCTTACCTTTACTGTGCGGTGGTGTTTGCGTGAGGGATGGCAGCGCATGTTACTGGTGTTGCAGCAGCCCGTGCACCTCTTCACCTCCACGCAGGGGGGCCAGATCAGGAAGTTGGCCGCTGTGGGGTCCACCTGGCTCCTGGGGATTTCATAGATAACTGTCCGGGTTTTACACACCGCCGGAACTGCCTCCTCAACTATAATAAAACAAACAAAAAAAACAGTTTATAATATATTGTGGTGTAGCTTTTTCCACCCCCTTATGCATTCCTGTACTGATTAAGTTTTGATGACTTATTTGATGTGGAGATTTTGTTCTTACCTCAAATCACACCCTATCTCCCCGGGCTGCAAAGAGGCTCTAGAAAAACGTTGATTCCATATCAGCTAAGGAGCTCAGGGATCAACTTAGTCAGCTAGCGAAAGACTTGTCCTTTGTTCGGAGCTTTCAGCGAGGTTAATGCAGCGTGACTAGACCAGAGAACCTTCACTATGTCGGCCTGTGGGAAATCTAATGACGCCCTTTGACCCCTGTGGATATAGTGCAAAGCGAAGGGGGCGGACATTTGTATCAGACTAAAGACTCTCAAGTGTCTCAGATCCGTATGTTAATTTATGTTATCCTATGAAAATAATATATGTTCAGATTGTTTTTATCATTACAAAAACACAGAGTAATCCTGCGCTCACTATGAGCGATGTCTGCTAACATGCTACAATCAGATATCACACAGCGCTGAGTTTTATGAAGAAATTTGCTGCTGAGGCCATGACACGCTGCAACTTGAACTCTTGAATGCCTGGAATTTCCACGCTCAAGGATATAGTTCTCCCCTGACGCGTGTCTAAGATCTAAAAGCCTTTGGGCCAATTAAAAAGCTTTATGTCAGACGTCCTCATCAACCTCATGCAACAGGTCTCGGGGCTGTTTGGGGAGCTATAAAAACTGAATGGGTGTCTTCATTACAGTCGCTTTTATCCGCATAAAAGCTAAACACAAGCCACAAACTATTAGCCTAGCTTGAAATTAGCGTAAAATGATCAGTTTCATCTCATGGGGGGATGTTTAAGAAGAGTAGCTATTTTAAGCCCATTATGTCACTGTGTTGAAATATACAGTTATAATGATTACGCTGCAGTTTTTTAATACTCACCGATGCTCCTTTTGCGTCGACTGTGAAGCTGGGAGCTCTTCAGGTCGTTGTAGTAACCATGGTGATGGGAAAAGTTTTTATGATGGATGAAATGTTGCTTGTGACGCTTGGGCTCCTCGATGACATCGTTTCCCGTACCTCACCAAAACAGAAGGCAGCCATGTTAATAATGTCACAAATGCAATAAACGCAGACAGACTATATTTAATTTGACCTATAAATCTGAGACTGTGTTCAAATGACTCTGTGGGCGGGTTGCCAGGCCTCACCAGACAGCATATGATCCCCCTATTGATGTTTTATGCAGCTTCTCAAAGTACTGTTGGTTACGCTAATGAGACACACACTTCCTCCCATGTTGTAACACATGCTTTGATTCCCCAAGGACCCAACGGTGGCCTTTTAGCGCCCCATGTAAAAGAAACTGCTGATGATGTCACAGGCTGAGGTAAACAGTTCAGAGCACTCACTGCATAATTGTAAGCTTTGTGTGTCTCACTTATTTGGGTGCACCTCCAGGTGAGTCAGGCGTTTAGAAAAACAGCTAGCCCTTACAGACACACAAATAACTGGCGTGACTATTTAGCAGGTGGTGCTCGACCATCATCATCTCCCATGCTTAATTAGCGGTTGTGCGTCTCTCATTTTAGATCCAAATGTTTACCCTTTTGGAAATTGTTCAATAGCTCAGAAAGGGTGTTTTGTTACGCACAGTGCAAGTCTCTCTAAGTCCTAACTCAAATACAGCCAGCTCAGCTTTAACACAGTCATGGTCATCTGATAACGCTTGTTTTGATCCACGCCCAGAATATTACATGAAAAGAGTGCCAGTGCAGCAATAAAACGATAAACTTGTTCTCTGAGGATACTGCCCTTTCCCTAAGAGCAGAGTCGGAGTATTTGCTAAGTGGGTGGATCTACCTTGTCTGTCGGTACAGCCATACCCGCCCATGCGTCTACACAACCTGGTGCACTTGACATAAACAGTGCACTCGCTGCTATGCAAACTCCTCTCATTATCTTCCATAACAGAGCAAAACCTTATGTACACCGCACAACAAAGAGTGGTCGTAGGCAAACACATTCCACTCCGACTGCTCCTTTGTGCCCTTACCAAAGTCATCTGAAGGGATTTCCTCTACCTATACATGCTTCCACTAAAGGATAGGTTGTTTATTTACTTTATATGGCATTTTTTTCCAGGTCGAGTAGGGCTCAGAGCTCTTGATTTGCTACTTTAGTGAAAGTTAGGGGGAAATCCTTTGTAGCCTGCAGCCCGGAGACAGCCACTGAACCAGAAAGCAAAGGCAGCACAGGGGAAGTGTTAACTGCATTCGAAGGAGAGTAGAAAAAACCCAGGCTATCACTCTTTCAGCCAGATAGATCCTATATCTAAAGACAGTATTAATTCACACACTTCTCCAATTCCTATGTGACATTTACATGCACCTACAAACTTACAGTGCAACTGGACTGTACAGTGGCAGCTGCCTCATTTCTCTATATCCAGTAACCCTTAAACTTCACCTTAATCTTCTCAACTGGTCTACAAATGACCACCCAACAACAGCTTGTGTTATATAGCTGACAGGAGAAAAGAACAAGGACATAAAGACAGCCTTTATAGACTCCCCTGTTCTGTCACAGCACCATAAAAGAACCTTTATGTTGTTGTTTTGCTTCCCTAGAGCACACAAAATAAGGAGAGACAGCAATCAGGGTGATTAGGAGGAGAGGTGTAGGGAAAATGTAGGTAAGACTCAAGGAAAGGAAAAACGTTTGAATTCAGGGTTTTCCTCTCCTGTCACGTCCAGATGACTAAAGCACAGAAACATGTCTGGGGTGTCGTCAGGCAGGGACAGGAGAGAAACGCAGGGGAGACAGTTCATGAATCAGGCCTTCATGACGAGTGGATGACTAGCTCTTTCTGTTAGCCGACTGACCTCTGCTACCCCTTTACACCTACTTTTCTTCTTCCAATAACCAAAACAAAGTGGTCATCCAAATGCACACATTGACTAAACGTCTGTTCCATTTTCGGTTTGGTCCAGTCATATCTTAAAGGTTACTTATTACCTCTAGCACTGAAGTTCATTGGCGCTTGTTTTTGATTAGTCTAGACTAGAGATTTGTAGAGAGATTGCTGGTAACAGAACTTGAAATTAATTGCTTAAGAGCACTGTGTTACCATTGCAAAATGGGATCAATGCCAGGTTCAGGTTCTTTCAGACCCCTGGATGTGCAAATCAGTAATGTTTGAGGAGAAAATGTATTGCTATTTGAGGACAAGATCTGAAAAGTTATCCCATGATTCAACAATATGGTGACGTGTCAGATTATTATACAGACATTAGGCAATATACGCTAATGTAATATCCAAAGTTGCAAAACAACTTTTATTTTTTGTAGGGTAAAATGTAACAGGACCACAGAATCAGCAAGCGCCCTCCTCCACCTCTCAGGCCCATACCAAGAGTCAGGTTCCCTTTTCTGTCAAAGTCCTTCACTGAGAGAGATAAGAGCAGGCGGGCGGGCGGGGGGGTCCTGAGGTGGGAGACAGCCACAGAGAAGACGAAAGTCAAGAAGAGGAGCACCCCAGGGGCCAGACAACCATCTGCGTACTTCAGCGGGGTCATCTCATCTGTCATCCCAGCTAGCCAAGTCCACACACACACAGTGCACAAGCTAGCAGTGTAACCACAATCCCTTATAATTGGGCTTTTTCTTTCACCTGCTCTGCTTTTCTATACTGGTAGCTTTACTGTCCTGGCCATCCCCAACAAAAGCTCTGAAAATACCCTTTGCGCTGGCGTCAAAAGCCTTTTAACAGGCTAGTCTGACTTGGGCCTCAGACAGATTTATGCCCTCATAATAATAATCAGCCTACTACTGTTACATTGTAAAACATTCCCCATGTTTGAAGAGAGACATGTTAATTCAATTATAAACACCTCATCTCCTGCTGGAGGCGCAAGAGGGATCTATGCTAGGCCCAGAGCAACGTTGGGTGAATAATACCATAATATTTGATTTTAGAATGACAATAAACTATTATAACCAAAAAGCAGCCAGTTATAACTGTGTAAAGGCATAGAGCATAGGCCTAACATAGAAAGTATCTGAAATTTCTTAATGCACAGAAAATTTAAACGATTCTGTTTGGAATATAACTTCAAAACATGTGACATACTGCCACAGCCTGTGTAAATAAAAGCTCATATGAATGCAAACAGCTTCCACCAGCACACCCCTGTAACTTAATCTAATGCACTCTGACACAAACAGGCTCTTGAGCATGGCATACAGTATAGTACCACCAAGAACTGAACTCCAAGAAAATGCAACTTTGCATACTATAACTGTCTGTTTACAAGAGATAGCACTTTATCATTGTGATCACTGAAGCCACACAAACCTCAGCAGCAGCTGAAACAGTATGCATTAAAAATGTGATTTTATATGCCGGAACAGACAGGTTTAAGACAAACGCACATTTACATACAGTGATTGTTTAGCAATTACTGGGGTGACATGATCATACCTTGATTGCATTAGATTTTACGAAGTACCATGATGATATTGTAAGACGATTGTTTCGTCTTTTACTTTCTCGTCTACGTTAAAAAGCACGTGGTTTTGTAAAGTATAATAAAAAAGTATCAAGAGGCAGAATTTACCTACGGAGTCAATGTCCAATAGCCGCTGGAGGTCGCTGATGCTGTGGATTTCGCTGTTGGCCAGCCTGTCGATCAGCTCCTGGGGAAACTGCACTTCCTTCAAAAGGAGCGGGGGTGACGGGAAATCAAACAGAGCGAGGTGGTTAGACATGTGTCAGGTGAGTGGCGAGCGAATGGCTGCGTGTTTGTGCGTAAACACTGAAGATCAGTGAGTTAACAACACAGCAGCCATGCGCCAATTACTTCTCAGTACACGGTGAGGGTGCTCTGAGGACCGCTAAGTTTGACTTTGTATGAAAAATGTCCCTTTATGATCGCCTAACACACAAAACTATAGGCGACGTATTTTTTGTTGCCTTTGGCTCCGTTTTTAAGTTGTAGCAGAAGCATTAAATCCACAGTCACACTAAATCCCTTTAAAATAGGCTATGTTGTCGTGTGTATGTTGCTAACACAAGTGTGAAAGAAAAAGAAATAGATGCGAGCTGTGACGCGTTCGTGTGAGCATGTCTCGCTGCACTTGTTGCAGTCTCTTTTCGCGACCACCTCAGCAACACCGAACCGTGGGACCCTGCAGGAATTACTTTCTATTTATAATTCGCCGTAGCGGTTCCCATGAAAGTGCTTACCAAAACGTTTGCACAGTGCTTGGGAGCTACAAACAATTTTGGCACAAAAGCCAAAAATAACTTGGCGATGCGTGCGCAACACACAAGCTGGTGCTCCAAGAGCGCGCAGCACTGGCCCTGGTAACTGGATCTCAAATGCTGCTCATTCTTGAAAAATGAATACAAATAGATTTACGCTGTCCACATGGATACTAAAATACACTAACTTAAAATAGGAGTGGCATTAAAACTAATTTTACGACTAAAATAAATCTAATTTACGACTACGAATGTGACAGGCAATAGAGTTGGATATGCACAATCACTGCAACGCCAATAAACCTGAGCAAATAGAGCTAAAGGGCAATGCCAGGGTCCTAACTTTACCTCAGCGCCGGCCAGCAGCAGGTACGTGGTCCACACAAGGAAACAACAAATTGCGGCTCTCATCTCCCTTTAATTTGGATGTAACCACGAACAAGAGAACGGCGCTGATGTGTAGGAGCCGAAGAGTTGCTCCTCGCTCCAGAGGATCCACAACCATCCCCTCAGGGAGAGAAAGCTGTGTGTCAGAGCGCCAGAGGCTCGCGCTGCACGGCTCCTCTGTGCACTTGCTTAAGTCTCAAAATGAAGTGGCTTGAAGTCTGAGGCAAAAATTCACATAGAGCTTCCCTTGAATGCTCTTAGCTCCTCGGACAAGTGGGGCAATCCCTCAAGAGAGCTTGGAAGCGCATTGCACTTGTCCTTCACCTTCGATAAAAGGATATTTGAACAAGTAAAACAGCCGCAGTTGCCCTTCTTTTACGCACGGTCTTTCTGCCCTACAATTGTATAATCCAAAAGAGCAGGATCCTTTGAAAAGCAGGCCGTGTGTGCGGAAAAGTTGTCCGTGCTGGGATATCCTCCTGCAGCAGTGGTCACAGGTCGTGTGCCGCCGTGAGTGCTCTGGTGTGAATGAGGAGCGAGCGCCTCACAGCCACTGAATATAGACAAGTTGCAGGCAGCTCCGCGGCCGTTGCGCCTCCCCTCGCGGCTCCGTGTTCTTGCATCTATTCAGTGAGCAAGGGAATCTGGTTGGCTGCTTAGATGACTTAAGACTCATGTTCCCATCCCCCTTTTAGTCAGGATGTGTGTGCCTGTCAGGAGGAATCCCATTCAGGCTTTTGGGTAGAAATAACTGTCAGTGTTCGTGAACAAGATGCTGATGAAAATATATTTCAAATATTTGAAAAGAAAATATTTGTAATCATTGTAGAAGACTGTGTGATGGTGACATGGCCCAGTATTTGAATTTGAAAGATGAACTATTATTAGCCATATAAAATCACCTGCATTCATTTAAGATGATTCATATTATTTACCTATCTTGCACTGAGATCAGTGTTTCACTGAGAGATAAAAGCAAGCTCCATCATTAATGAGGTAGAAATATGCTCTAATTTATTCATACCTGAAATCTTTCCTCTAGGGTTTTATTTATATAAGTTTTTAGCGCCTACAGCTTGGAGACGACTTGAGGCCACAGGAAGCCACTAGTTAACAGCAGGTTAACTATCCACCTGCCCTGGCTTGTCCTGAGGTCTCTGGAGGCTTGTGTGGCACGTCTGTCCTCTGGGAGGTCCTCAGCAGAGCCCCAGGGCCTGATAAAGGAGAAGTACCTGAGGAGCGGAGACTCAGACAGGCCAGCCAGGCACACACACGCACACACACAGAGGTGAGCTGCAGGAAGCCATAGGTCAGCCTACCAGGTGGTCCGAACTCCACCTTGTCCTTTACACTGGGCTGTATATAGCACAACGCCAGGCCCCAGGCTTTGTAGGTGGAAACAGAGAAGACCATGGAGAATCAGTGTAAAAGCTATTAGTAAGAAGATGATAAAGCTGGATTAGCATCTGTTTTAACAAAGGACAATTCACGTGATGCAATGTCATGATTACACCCAGCTTCTCTAGTAAAAATAGCATTTACATACAATCAGACAATGCCATTATTCATGGAAACTTTGTTTCCAGTCTTCCAGGTCCAGGCATCTCTCTGCAAACTTGACTTTTCACTTTCTCCATAGAAGTATTAATCACTTTCCACTGACTTACCTGCTGCTTCCATAAAACATGATGCAGTGGCAGAATGAGTGAGCCGTCTGGGATGTGCAGATGCATCATTGGCCCCCAGTGGTGTCAGCGTTGTTATGGTTACATCACAGGTCAGCGTCCCTATGATGTAATTGCCTCTCCCTGAAACAAATGATTCATCTTCATGTTCTGGTGGGAAAAGAGTCAAAGGAGAAACGTGGCCACACAGAGCAAGGTGTAAATATAACTATGGGAATGACTCTTTATTTATCTTTTTGTTGTGCGTAAGACAATTAGGCGGCATGTTTACTGGCAACTAGGCTGTGTGTAGCTACCAACACAATCCTTGTTAAATGCGTTTATGGATGCATTGTAAAAATAAGCTATAAAGTCAGAGTACAGAAGAGGCTGTATGAGCGAGGTATTCCCTGTACACCCACACATATTCCTGCCAAACTGGGGAGAAAATGTGCAAGAATGAGGAAGATATGAGTTGTTTTGTCTTAACGGTAGCATGACTTGGACTTTTATTAGGTCAAAAGCAGATGTACATTTAAAACTGTTCTGTTACATTTACTTGGACACATTTTATTGTTATGGCAACACATTTTTTGTTGATATCTATATCTGTTATATGCCTCACTGCTGAGATCAATAAATGATTTTCAAATATAAATATGGCAGTTTTTAGTAAAGTTTAGTAATTACGTTTTCATTAGTGGAAATATTTTCTATGATATAATATAATTTAATGTAGTATTTGTGATGATCATATAAACATACAGTTACCATTAGCTTCATTACTAATCCATCCATTAGAAATACAGAAAAAAAAAAAAAATTGGAAAAATATTGGCTAGATTTTTCAGGGTAATTTCTCAATACAGATCTATGGGGGGAAATTCTCTAATCTACCAGTGCTAACATTTGGTCCATTCTTACACATTTTGTCTATTTGAGTTTATTTTTTTCTTGACAACTGTACCTATCTAAAGTCAGCTTGTCACTATGTCACTAATGACTGAATTACATTTAGCACATTGATAACATCATCATATCTTTTACAAGGCCAAATGCATTTATTAGTATTACATTATACTTGTTATCATTAGGTCAGCACATAGTAAACTCAGTAAACCCGTTACTTAGCTACACCACTTAAGATGCCATTGTAGTTGTTGGGCATCCCCTTTGTGTTGCATCTCATAAAACACAAAGAAATCTTGGGATTTTGTTATATCTAAGAAACAAACAGCAATCTCCCACAAATCCCACCCAGCCATATCATGCATGAGTCACAGATTGAAGCCCTTTGTAGACTACTGAACATTCTCCTCCCCTCTCCTCAGGCAAGCATTAGGGTTCACCAACTTAAAAGCCTAAAGTAGTCTGAACTAGCTCATCAGCAACTATAATGACAAAGTTGATACCATTAGTGGCTTGTCTCCCTGTGTGATTTGATAGCTGTCTTGTAATCTGCCTATTAGAAGTCACTTTTATGAGTGGAGAGTGAATCAGGTGCAAATTTCCCAGGAGCAAAGGTGCGCACATTCCTGAGGCCGGTGGTATGGCGATATGGATTGGACCTAACCAGAGCAGAGTGCATATCCAGGGCAACCTTGCACATAAACAACTTGAACACACTTACGCTGAAGGTCTGAAAACCCTTGCGGCGCGTCTCACCTGAATTTTAAGTAGTGGATGGGGGCCAAGTACAGCAGCCACACTTTGAACTGATCCTATGGGCAGCTGCACTTTTATAGGCTTGATTACTGGCAGTCATTTACAGGCCCCCATCTCTCTCTAACATGCATAGCAACCTGAATGAAGTGCACTGTGGGACCCCTCCGGACTTACAGCTCTAAGCCAATGAGAGCTACGTTAGGATTTACAAGGCACAATGCCCAAATGCTTTTTCATAAGCCTCGACTGTATAGTGAAGTCCAGTTTTAGGGATCAAACAGTATTCTACGTGCACACTTAAAATTGTGGTAAGTGAAATTTAAAGCAAACTGCAGCTGGACAAGCCTTTTGCATTAAAGAGAAGCAATGCACTTGTTAAGGGACAGCTGACCCTTTATGTGTTCTCCAGAACTGTCAAGATGCGGTTGGTCTTTGTAAGCTATTTTTAATACCCTGCCCTCGTAGTCTGAGTCGAGTTCTTCTACACTTTATCATTATGGAATTGCTCTCACTGAACGTGATCGGGACAAGATGGAACAGTCTTTCAAATGCTTCAAGCTGTGTGAATCCTGAAGAGCTGATCAATCAAATAAAATGGATAAATATCTTTCCCATTGACAAATGCACAGTGCTTCCCTCTGCTTTTTATTCAAAAATGAATTAGATTATGGTCTATCTTTCTGTCTTTCTGTAAAAATCAGTAGTATCCCATGTCTGTCCACTGTGATTCACTGGTGCTCTTCACTTTTGGCTTCTTCCCAAACTGCAGTGCTGATTGGCCCAATCAGATTGACCAATTAGAGGTCAAACTCAACAGCAGGCCAAAGAGGGTCAAAACGGATTGATGTGAGTTTGTGAACTCACAAATATCACAAGAATTCATCTTTCTGTGCAAAGTGTTTGTGCATGTGGACCCTTAAGGGGTCTGTGTAATAAGGTAGTGTTCTGGTGCCAAGCCTGGATAAATTGTGAATCAAGGTCATTTGTAAAAAACAGAATGGGAGCCCCTAATGCAGCATCTCCATGGGAAATATAAACTGGATAAATGTACACTCAAATATGAGATGTCAGTGGCCAGAGGTTGTGTGTGATCATTAAAAGTCACTGAGTGTGTATGTGTGGAGATTGAACATGCAGGCAGCCTCATGTGCTCTCTCACTCCTACACTCACACCTGCACTCTTTCATCTACAGTACATTCTCCATTTCCACCAATGGAGCGACAGACTGACGAGAAGCAATCCAGGCACAAGTCTTTACACGCTGCTCCCTATTCCCCCTTGTCCTAACTCCCTTTCTTCCCCCTTCTAAAACACTGCCTCTTTATTCTCTATGAACTCAAGAAAAACATTCAATCTCTCACTGAAAAAAAGAAAAAATGGGGACTTCCAGGCACTGAGGAATAGCAGAGTAATTGCCGGTGCTCTGTTGTCTATCAAGAGCTTGACCTTTCTAACATGTGCGGTGTGCTTTGGGAGCTGTGGGAACCAACCTGTGTATGTATATTGGGGGATGCCGAGGGTCTCCCCCGAGCTCTGCGGTGGTCTGACCCAAAATACCCCCAACTTTTCCAGTCGAGCTCAAGGCAAGGAACTCCCACTGAGTCCCCGTGTTCTGTATGTTCTGAGGCTGCAGGGAACGGAGGACCGGCTTCACCCACAAATCAGCGTTTTGGCAGCAGGACATGAAAGTACAGGGAGTCGGACCATGTGGAAGGATGGGGGAAGACAGAGGAGCCCTGTTTCAGTGCAGTCCTATGGGGATGGAACAAACTCTAAAGGCCTACAGTATAAGCCTGAACATTATAGCCATGTTTTACATCGCTGCCTGTCGGAGCGTAAAATATTAATGTTGTCTTTCATTAAGCCTAGACTTTGAAGAAGAAGGAATGACAATTTTTTTTAAAGAAACTTGACAAATGCTAGAATCAAATGTTGTTGGGGAAAAACTGACAAAATACTATAGAAACTCATCTTACATTAAAAAGAGATGATGCAATGGACAACCTTTCCTTGTTCTATAAATTATACAACCATATTTAAATCTAATAATTTCTGAACATAAAACTGTCAAAAATTCGTACAAATATCATCTGCAGTGACGCTGGGATGATAATCATTTCATCACTATAAGCACTGTATATTCTCACCTTAAAGTCTAGCTTAAAAACAAGTCAACCAT